AAGAGCCAGATCCAGTGGGCCTCTTCTATGCCACGCAGTTTGAGCCTTTGCCAGTCACAGCAGAACAGGTCAAACGAGAAACACAGAGAGATCCTCTATTGGCGAAGGTCCATGAGTTGGTTATGAAAGGATGGTCCACTCCACAAGATGAAGCGATTAAACCGTTTTACCAGCGGAAAGACGAACTGACAGTTCATTGTGGTGTCCTAATGCTTGGACACAGAGCAGTCATTCCTGCAAAGTTGCGTAATCAAGTGTTAACCGAGCTTTACGAAGGTCACCTTGGTATTGTTAAAATGAAGTCTCTGGCGCGAAGTTACATCTGGTGGCCCAAAATTGATAAGGACATTGAGCACCTAGCCAAGAGCTGCCCTGGTTGTCAACTTCAACAGAATGAAGCCGGCAAAGTACCACTACACCCTTGGGAATGGCTAACCACACCTTGGCAGAAAATCCATTTAGATTTTGCTGGGCCGTTCCTAGGACGAATGTTCCTTATCATTGTAGATGCACACTCGAAGTGGCCTGAAGTGGAAAAAATGCCATCTACCACATCGACGCAGACCATTGACCGACTCCGAACTATTTTTGCCCGATATGGAGTGCCAGCACAGGTGGTGACCGACAATGGGCCACAATTTACATCCGCAGAGTTCCAACTATTTTTGAAGACTAATGGTATCAAGCATATTACCACGGCCCCATTCCACCCTGCAACCAACGGTCAAGCGGAACGTTTTGTTCAGAGTTTCAAACATGCTATGAAATGCGAGAAACAAAGTGCATCCCAGCTGAAAACCAATATGGCAAAGTTCCTTTTGGCTTACCGGAATACCTCGCATTCGACGACTGGAGAATCACCGTCCGTGTTGTTTTTGGGCAGACCGCTACGGACTCGCCTCGATTTGGTGAAACCTGATTTACAAAGGAAAGTGATGAACAGACAAATCGATCAAGCGGGGAGGAAAGGACATTCCCCTACACGTCAATTATCCATTGGTCAGACTGTCATGGCACGTAATTACAATGGGAAAGACAAGTGGCTAACAGGCATAGTTCGAGCTCAAACGGGACCCCTTTCGTACGAGATAAAAGTTGGTCCGAATCGAATTTGGCGACGTCACATCGACCAGCTTCGAGCCTCGAGTGTGAAAGTAAATGACCAGAGTGATGATACGACTGAACCTCATCCAGAGCTCGGAGAGACTGGCCAGAATATTGCACCAGCAGAAGAAATTGTCGCAGAGCCGGATATCGCACTAGCCACTATCCACCAGTAGTGCAACAACAAGAAGCCGGTAGGGCTACAACAGGATCTGAACAACGCTACCCAACTAGATCACACCAACCACCCGAGAGGTGGGTCTTAACTGTTTGATCCGAAAACTGTTTAAGAAAACTACATAGAGAACTGCTTTATTACTTACTGTTATGGTTAGCATAATTGTTCGAACACGATAGTGAACTCATGAACAATATTTTATGATACATTCTTTAAGAGGAGAGATGGTGTTAGATATATAGATATAGACGGACAGCGGTCATACGCACGGACATGCGCATTAGATATGTAGATCGGCCACGCTTATGTATTATTCATATTTTGTTAAAAGTATAATCTAAATACACGACAAACACGAAGCCGAAGAAATCCTTCATTCTATTTTAACCTCTACGGGGATTTTGAATTGGAATGGAAAAGGAGAAATCGTTTACAGAGGCCATAATATACGAGACACTGACATTGTAGACCTTCTGAAATATTGCGTGACGCCTTATCATCCAGATATTCCCGAACCAACTGGATTGAGCATTCTTATAAAAGGTCTTGCAGAATTGGAAATTGATAAAAGTCTAATCGTAAATGGACATGTCCTTTCTGTGTTAGCCCACAAGTGGTCCCATCAGGATACACAATCTGATGCTGACGCAACTTGTAACAGTTGCAACAAAGATATATACATCTCCCATTTGAGTACGTGCCCCGTATGCACATGGACAGATTTTTATCCGAATTGTAAAAGCTGTCGCTGTATGATCTGTGATTTTCAAGTGTCCAAAGGAGATTTTACGCATGTAATCGCCAGCTGTCCACATTGTCGTCGGGGCGAAATTATAGATATCAGAACGGATAAAAGACAATCTTTTAACCATAAAATAGGCGACCCAAGTGATATTTGATTAGTTGACGGCGTGAAGTTGAACTGAATACATCAACATGCCGAGAGGTACACTTGTTGTAGACGAAAAACTACTGAGAGACCATTTCGTGAGACAGCAGCGTGGCGGAAACATCGCGGGTTTAATGGTGCACGTTTTCAAAGAGGATACGGGATCGGAGGTGTTTTCAAGAGCCTTGCGAGATATGCTATTCCTCTATTCAATCAAGGTGCTAAAGTTGTTGGCAAAAGAGCATTACAAGCAGCCACAGAAGTTGGTCAAGATATACTCCAAGGAAAAAATGTAAGAGAATCTGTAAAGACTCACGGAGGTGACGTTGTTAAAGACTTTGCCGAACAAGGAGCAAATCAACCTCTTCCCACTTTGCTTGCTCCATCTCGACTGAAAAAGAGCGCGAAAATTTGTTTCCCCTCAAAAAACTTTATCTTCCAACAACCAATAAACGTTAATTCTACCAACAAGATAAATTTCAGCAGCTTGCCAAAAGACCTCCAGTAAGAACGTTGTCAAAATATAGACGATGCTTGTTATAAGACGCTTGTCGATTTTTATACAAACACTCATTAAATCAAACAACCAATCATAGTAAGCCAACATTAATCTCTCAATTGTATCATACACGTGGAGGGACGCTAAGAAATGCGTAGTCAGCAAGTTTCACATGTCCTTGTTTAAACCTGCCCGCGTGACGTCATTGCATATAATTATGACGTATGTTAATGAGTGACGTCACTACGCACCCTCATTTGTGCGGCCCCTCTTAATTACCTGCATATATAATGATGCGCCGCCCCCTTGCACAGTAATTACCTGCATATATAATGATGCGCCGCCCCGCGCCGCCCCACGCCGCCCCGCGCCGCCCCGCGCCGCCCCACGCCGCCCCAAAAATCCGGCCCGAAAGGATGCAGCATAACACTGGACCGATTGACAACAATACTGGATTGGGATAGAGTGCCAGGTCCGTGAGCTGTATTTTGGTGCCGTGAACGGTTACTTGAAGTTGAGAATGATTTCTTACAAACTGTGCAAGAATGAGACATGTTCACTGCTCTGTGTCAAAACGATGAATGAAATTATTTTAAGTTGGTCCACTATTTATAACCACTCGTGATTATTCTTAGGATTCACTGATTTAATATAGGATTCAGTGATTCAATCTATGATTCACATCGTCACGCAATATTTCAGAAGGTCTACAATGTCAGTGTCTCGTATATTATGGCCTCTGTAAACGATTTCTCCTTTTCCATTCCAATTCAAAATCCCCGTAGAGGTTAAAATAGAATGAAGGATTTCTTCGGCTTCGTGTTCATCATCAACGTCAAGATATTTGAGAATGTCTTCAAGTCTCCACTGTTCGGGAGATGCTCGTTTGTCACTATCCATGATTGGAATGAGGAGATGCCCTTCATGCTTATTATTTTATACTAATTCTGCAAGGCCTTCTAAAAGTGGTCCAAGTACCAATCCCAGAAAGCCGCTTCGCCGCTGAACAAGAATTTCCTTTTTCGTTCTAAAACTTCTACTTCTGTTCGCCAAATCAGCTAGATCTTGTTTGAAAGGTTTGAGTTTGTCCTTTATTTCTTTAGAATATGTGAAATTTTCTATACAATGACACAAGCATCGAATTTGCTCAGCTGATGCAGAATTAAGAAGAGCTTGCTGTTGAGTCGGATGAGAAGTACATAAGAGCTCTACAAAAGGCCTGTACACATCAAAGTACGTCATCTCTCTTCAAGAGTTGGAGCTTAAATGGTTCACTTACTCGAGGAACATGATTTTAAAAACGTTTTTGCGAACATAGATTGAATTCTAGATTGAATAGATTGAATTCTAGAGTGAATCATTGAATCATAGATTGAATCATAGAGTGAATCATTGAATCCGAGATTGAATCATTGAATGAATCATTGAATCCTAGATTGAATCCCAGATTGAATCATTGAATCATAGATTGAATCATTGAGTGAATCATTGAATCATAGATTGAATCCTAGATTGAATCATTGAATCATCGAGTGAATCATTGAATCATAGATTGAATCCTAGATTGAATCATTGAATGAATCATTGAATCCTAGATTGAATCGTTGAGTGAATCATTGAATCCTAGATTGAATCATTGAATGAATCATTGAACCCCAGATTGAATCATTGAGTGAATCATTGAATCATAGATTGAATCATTGAGTGAATAATTGAATCATAGATTGAATCCTAGATTGAATCATTGAATCCTAGATTGAATCATTGAATCATAGAGTGAATCATTGAATCATAGATTGAATCATTGAGTGAATCATTGAATCATAGATTGAATCCTAGATTGAATCATTGAATCATAGATTGAATCATTGAATCCCAGGTTGAATCATTGAGTGAATCATAGATTGAATCACTGAATCCTATATTAAATCAGTGAATCCTAAGAATAATCACGAGTGGTTATAAATAGTGGACCAACTTAAAATAATTTCATTCATCGTTTTGACACAGAGCAGTGAACATGTCTCATTCTTGCACAGTTTGTAACAAATCATTCTCAACTTCAAGTAACCGTTCACGGCACCAAAATACAGCTCACGGACCTGGCACTCTATCCCAATCCAGTATTGTTGTCAATCGGTCCAGTGTTATGCTGCATCCTTTCACATGTATCGTAGCTGGGTGCACCCAAAGCGGCAAGACTGTATGGGTAAAATCTCTCTTGGAGAATGCACAGAAAACTATAAGTCCACCTCCTCAACGTATCATTTGGTGTTATGGTCAATGGCAACCCTCCTATTTTGATATGATGAGAACGATGCCTGGAATCGAGTTTAATCAAGGCATCCCCGAAGACATCGACAACGCAGATTACTTGGACGTATCGCAACGGAATTTGATCGTATTGGATGATCTCATGGCTCAATCTGGCAAAGATAAACGTATTTCTGATCTTTTTACGAAAGGAAGTCATCATCGGAATTTATCTATCATCTATATTGTTCAAAATATATTTCATCAAGGCAAAGAAATGAGAAATATCAGCCTAAACGCCCATTATATCGTGTTGTTCAAGTCACCAAGAGATAAACAACAAATTTCTATGCTTGCAAGGCAAATATATCCCGGAAAAGTACAAGAATTTATGAGGAGTTATGAAGATGCTACGAGCCGACCTCACGGGTATTTGATGTTGGATTTAAAGCCAACAACAAATGATCAACGATGACTCAAGACCAACATACTTCCCGGTGAGATTGAAAAGTTTATACAAAAACAGTCGTATCGTCAACCACCACTTGTAAATGCCATGTATGATGCCGAGCAGCGAATGAAAGAAATCATGGATGCACCACAGCTTAGCGCAGTGGAAAAAAGCAAATTATACTCTGATCAACTAAATCGGTTTCTCACATTCAAAAATAAGATGGATGTCCCAGCTCAAGCTCCTGTTCTGACAACTCCACTAGTGCCTGCAGAGATACCATCACAAGCGCGTCCTACGCCTGTAATAGCGGAAATACCAACACCAGTGCCTGCGACTCCTAAACCTAATTTCCTTACGCCACCACCAACAGAAGAGGAACGGCCAAAACTCAAGCACAACTTTTTCCACAATTGGGTAGACTCTACAGATTGGAGGCCGCAAGATTTGGCAATGATGACCCCTGAACAAAGAGAAGGTTACGAACAAAGATTACTTCGCGAGAGGCCGAAATATATTCCAATGAAGGATGAAGACGTTGCAAAGTTATCCCCAGAAGATAGACAAGAATATGAGAACTCTTTAAAAATAACAAAAACACCTAGACGTTACGCTCTTAGAAGTAGACCGTACTAAATTTTGTAAAACGTTTTGAAGAAATAAATGTATTTAAAAACTGAAATATTGTGTAATTTTTGCCGGCAAAGCCCGCTCTTTCCGCCCGCGCGATCCGCCCGCCTGATTAGTGTACAAATATGTTGTACGTTAATATATGCATGCACCCGCAAAGCCACGCGCCTGATTTTAAGGTATACACCTGCGTTAAAATAATCCCTATCTATCCATCGGGATACACTTAGTTATGCAAATTCGTATTGCCTTAATCCCCTTAATTACCTACACGCC